AACTTGTTAATATAAGGTTAAAAATTATATTAAAATTAGATATGATAACATTTTAGGTTAAAATTAAAAATATTATATTATTCATAACATTTTCGGTTGTAATCAAAATTATTATAAATTGTATAGTATTTTCGGTTGTAAACCCTAAACTCACCGTAATATAATTTTTTTCAGTTACAACCGAAAATGTTTCAAATTGTATAATTTCTTAAATTGAATATGATAATATTTTAGGTTGAAACTATCCAGATTACAATAATATTGAAAATCAATATGTACTTTTGTACAAGATTGAATAATATATTTTTTAGTTTGGATCAAGCTTAAGCAAAACATTTTATCCGTTTTTTAGGTCAGGTGTATGACAAGTTTAATTAAAGCAAAACATATATGTATATATATAGTGTAAAAAATTATCATGAAGTTGATTTTATGTAATGGTTCATTGAATCTGTAAATTTGGATGTTTAGCACATGTAACGTTTCTCGGACGGTATTTATATTTTTACAATTACGGTCTGAATGTCTAACCCTGTTAATATTTATAATTTGATGAAAGAAGGAGACAAGAGAATTTCGATGTGTAATATTCAGCGTTTGTAGTTACTATGTTTCAACAAAAACCACTTGTTTAAAGGAACCATTAACGACTTGGTTTAGTAGACTTATGGTTTAACACTAAATTCTCATCCCACGTGCTGACTTCCTTTTTATTCCTTTCCATTTTTGTTTCATCTCTCAAATTCAACACTGACGGCTCATCAAATACTTTTAAACACAAGCCTGGTCAAGCTGCAAAGCTGGGGTTTTCCATAATTCTATTTATATATATATTCTCACGTGGATATTGCAGAAAACAGTACAATTGATCATACATATAGCATAATGATAAGTTTTACTTATGTATATATTATCATTTCGTTCTTTATTTTTTTAATTTGACTTTCAATTTTATAGAAAATAGTTAAATCCTTTTCTATGTTACCTTTGACTGATATTGGGTTCAGCTGTTGTTTAACTTTGACTGAAGGACAAAATAAATGATAAACATATTTATCATCGTAAGATTAGTAAAATAGATTATTGAGATCAATAGTAGGAATAATAAAATCAAAAGAATTTTATTGGGAAAAAAACAATGAGTTAATTTTAACTATTTATTTTCATTCATTCAATTTTAAATATGTATAAAATTAAAAGAGTTTTACATGGTATAAGAATTTCAAGTGCATGCGTCCCAAAATCAAGCGGTTTCTCGTGCAAATTGTTTTGCATGCATTGTACTATGATCAGCTGAAGCTTTGTGATGTTGTGACCACCAGGAATCATTTGCAGGAACACGTATCACTTATAAAGGAGAACGAGGGGTTTGTGAACAGAGCGTTTGAAGATGAAGATGCACGACATGCAGAAGAAGAATCAAACTGGAAAAAGTTAATAGAGCAGTGGGACCAGAAAGACTACCTTTTTCTCCTCCATGTCCAAGACTCTAGCTTGCTCGCTCTCAGCCTCTGATTCAACCAACTTATCAAAATGCAGTCCCATCAAGCGCCTCATCATCTTACAAGCAACCAGAAAGTCAGCAACCCTAAGTTTAGGGTTTAACAATTTAATAATTATTTATTAATGATTTAATAGTTTAATATTTTGTTAAAAATAATATTATATTAATAATTTAATTTAATAATTATTTTAAATTAAAATAAGGACTAAATTGATAGAATTTTTAAATATTGATAATTTATTGAATTATTTTGAATTAGGACCAATTTGATAGATTGTGTTAGTTTTGGGGACTAAAATTATTATTATACCATGTGTTATCAAAATTTCTGTTAAGTTAACAGTTAAACTTAAAGGCATGTGATCAAAACAGAAACAAAATAAAACATTCAGTATGATTTTGTAAAAAAAATAGTCGGGTGACCAAAATAGAAACGTGGGAATAGGTGAGTTACCAAATAGGTTGTTTACCCTTCTTTCTATAATAAAATTATTTAGGGTAAATTACATAAATAGTTTAACGGCGAGTATCATATTAAAACTTAAACTAAACATTAAGTAAAATTTTGAAAGAAAAAAAAACTCAAAATATTAAAACTGAATAAAAATAATAGTTTAAATACTAAAAATGTAATCTATCTTAAATAAATTACAGCGATTTCAACTAAGACAAATGTCACATCATTATGCAATGTCCAGACATCACTCTTACTTGCAATCCATCTTCCTTTCTCACATCAAAAGCTCCTACAATCAATTTACGTCCAAAATGAGTTCATACTTAAAAGTGAAACACCTGTTCTAATAAAAAAGCACGGAAATAACATTTTTTATTGTCCTTCCGGTTCTAAAAGCTTGTGTCATTTTTTTATTGTCTTCTTGATTCCCAAAGTTTCGAAACCAACAAAAACACATCAGAACATCTGGAAAACGTAAACAAAACAAAATTATAGAAAGCATATACATCAACTCGACGCAAATAGATACAAAATCATCATTATAGTAATATACTCCAACAAAGATAACATCAAATTCATGGAGAAGCCAAATTTCAATATAATATGGTCAATCTGATAGCAAACCAAATATGTTGACAAAAATTGAATATCACAGAACCTTTAATATTGAAGAAGTATTCTAAAATTGGATCCAACAACACGCCCAACAGGACCTAAAATAAGGTAATCCAATTCGACAACAAGCCAACGATAAGCACCCAAAGAATCATGTACGTATATGAAATTATGACATATCTGTGGCCCAAATTAAAAGTGACTTACATTTCAAATCAATGAATTTATCATGGAGTTCATAAATCTTTTATTTTATTAAATATTATTATTTGATTTAGATTTATCAAAATTAAGTTAGGTGATTTAGATTATTATGAATTAAAAGTTATCTTATCAACATGCACACGACTTATCTTTTAGTTAAATTTAAGATATCATGCTAAGTCACGTATGCTAGAGAGTCAACTTTTCTAGTAGAATTAGTTGATAGAATTAGTACAGATAGTACATTTGTTAATAGCTGAAATTGAATAAAGAAATTTAATAAAATTAAATATGTAAAAATTATATTAAATTAGGATGTTAATAATGTAAAATAATTGGTCTTGAAAAAAAAAAGTTAAAATGAGTTTTAGTAGTTATTGATTTCTAATTTATGATACATAAATTTATTATTGTTGATAATGGATATCAACTGATAAAATTTTACAGAAGATTTATTTCATATTACTATGATCAAGCTAGAATTGAGATAGACAAGCCTAGTTTTAGGAGGAGCAACATGTGTTCAAATTTAGGGTCTTATCTTCCACCTTCACAGCTTCATAGAATTATATTAATTTCGGGGATAATGGATAATGAGGTTTTTAATAAATTTGTTTATGATAATTTGATTGATGAATTTATTTTAAAGAACGTTAGCAGGACAAGATTTTTTAAGTGAATATCAATGGTGAATGCAAGTATAATTTAGAGTGAGTGTGTGTCAATCATTAAATTCGAATTTCTTTCTATTAGTTATCCATTTTATCGAATGTGTCGGCCCTGATATTTTATTTATGTTCACCCACGTACAAAAATTTTATATTATTAATATATGTGCGCTTGTAATTCAAAATATTTATGGATTTGTCACTGTGACCATTTTATAAGTTAGTGATTGTCCTTTATTGTTTTAATTGTATTTAAGTTGTTTTATTAACAATGAAAAATATATTCAATAAATTTTAATCATATTTTTTATTAAATTAATAAAATAAAATTTTATTTTATAAGGATTTATTATTTAAATTTTCGTTTAAGATCGTGAAAATATTCGAGACGGTCTGAAGGTGGGCAGGTAGGTCGATGAGGTTGTGAAAGACTTCTTTTGGGACAACTGTAGCTGTTTGTTTTCTTTTGGGTCATAGTATAGTAGGCCGTTGACATTGTAAGAAAAATTTGCCAGGATTTCATACAAATTGGGTACGCCATGCCCAAAGCACATTTTCATCTTCATGTGTAAATTATCAATCTTTTGCAAATCTAGTACGGCTGCTGATCTTTATTAACAAACTAACTATTTATTTTTACACTCGTAATTTTTACGTGTTTATTTGTGGAATTATTAATTAATATAAAGTATTATTATTAATACATTCTTCTCCTATCGTTATTGTGAACCAATCGCCATAGTCGTCGATATTCACAATAAAATCAGTATCACAAACACATTTACATCTCACTCATCCTTTTTATCCTTGAATTGATTTTTTACGAAATTCACTCAAAATCAATAAAAATTCATCCAAAAGGTCTGACATTTTAATACTTCGATCTCCTCCAACGTCCGATAAAACTAATTTCGAGATATATTATTTGTCTTCTCAAAAGAATATTTTTTACTATTCAAATTTTCTAACAAACTCCCGAGTTTCTCATATTTGAGAAAGTCCTAAACCTCTAAAAATAATAAAATTTTTGTGTTTAATTTTATGAGTTTTAAAGAGATTTTGTAAAAATTTAAGTCGATAAAGTGGTAAATGAAAATTGAACGAGTACATGGATGTCTAAGGTCATTATAAAATACTTCAAAGAATAACGATTTTCACCTACTATAAATAGGTGAAAAAAAATTCTAAACTTTGATTAAAAAAAATAATGAGATGCAATAAAAAATAGCTTCTACACAAACACCAAACTATCACGTGATACAACTATTAATAGTTCAGGGTTCAACGCTTTAATTGAACCTAAAATTAAAGTTCAGTTTTTAAATTGAATCAATTTAAAATTTAATAACTTCAGTTCTAAAATTGAATCAATTTAAAATTCAAGTGACATTTGGGTAATTTGCCCTAATTATTTATACATTGTTGTAATTCAACACCGAATGACTCCTTTTCATTTCTGAAAATAATAGTCTATAAGTAACCCGATATTTTCCAGCCTTTTGGAAGCCATATCTCAATGCTTGTTTCATCATTCTCTTCCGATCATTCAGCCATGGCGATTGACAAGATAGGGAAGTACTTCTTTTCTGTTCTTTTCATCGTTTCGGCTCTAAAACAGGCGTGTGAATTCTTGCTTCGTTATTCTAACCTAGGGAGCCACAATCACAACAGTATGCAAGACTTGGAAGATGAAGAAGTTGTTGAATGCGCTATTTGCTTATGCAAGATTGATGAAGACGATGAGATTCGAGAGTTGACATGTGACCATCTGTTCCATAGAGTTTGCTTGGATAGATGGGCCGGATACCGGCGTTCCACCTGCCCTATTTGTCGCACTTCTTTATCTCCTCCACAACTACTTTCCGGCATGGAAGTCATTCTTTTCAAATATTGTTGTTTACATGATTCCGGCCACCGGGAAGCCTGGTGGCTGCGATAGGTTTAGATAGATTCCGTGATTTTGCGGCAGTTTAAGCAGCTTGTTATCTGTCTAAATAATCATAACAACGTTGATTATATCAGCAACTATACCAAATTCATGTATATATCATATTATTAAGGGATGTTTTATCTCTTTCGAGAGAATTTTGTAAATTATTATTCACTGATCAAACCTATACAAAATTTGATTTCTGATATTGCAAGGATAAGGATTGCTTACAGATCATATATGAGAATAATGATGATATTATAAGGATCATGCCCCTCCCAAACATCCATTCTCTTGAAATATAGACAAGGGACGACGATCGTCATGTATTTGCCGACTAAATGTATAGAAGTATTAAATATAGATAATTTGATTGATCACAAATCAAAATATTAATCAAGGGCAAGTAAAAATTGATTTGATTCGAAAACTAATTTTTTCAAATCGATTTAATTCGAAAAAAATTCTTCTTAAATTGACTTCGTGTTATAATTTCATAAACTCGACTAAAAAAATATTCAAATTAGAGTTGAGTTATAAAATATAACTCGAATAACTCAAATTTTTTAGTAATTAGTGAATTGGTTTCTAAGTTTGAGTTGAGTTATAAAATATAACTCGAATAACTCAAATTTAAGACTCATCAACTCGAATAACTTGAAAATTTTTAACTCAACTCGACTCGATCGAACACTCAATGATAATATTAATAACTTAATTGATAACAATTTTATTTAATAACCAAAAATAGACTTTTATGTTTTAATAACAATTTCTCTAATAGTGGTGATTAAATTAAGATGATTCTTTAGCACCCAAAATAAAAACAACTAACGGTTACATGACCATATGAGTAGTTTGCCCTAAATTATAAATTTCTAGGGTAAATTACATAAGTGGTCACTGAAGTTTGAGAACAAATTTCTTTTCTACATTGATGTTTTAAAAGTAAAGATTTGGTCACTGACATTATAGATTTATAACAAATCGATCCCTTACCGTTAATAGTATCGGGTAATAAAAAGCTGATGTACCGTATTAAGTCGATTGACCTGACATCATTTGGCACCACTGGGGATAACAATGTTGACCGACATTTTACTCTCCTATTTTAAGAGGACCTTAGCCCAATAATCTTATCGAAAACCTCTTTTCCCACTCCTGAAGTTTGAGAATTCTCATATTCCTCGAAACTTTGGACGTGGCCTTCATTCTTTCATCTTTCGAATTCATCTACTCCTCCCGAAAGTTATCTTCCATCTTCCAACATAACAAGTTCTATTGTGATAAAAGCCGCAATGGCTGCTAGCCCAAGGCTTTTACATTGCAATCAATATTGCTCCCCACCTAATGCTAATTTGGTGCAACTTAAAAACCGAACATGTGTTATATACACATTCTACGAGTTTTGCAACAAAGAAAGCAGTAACCAGAAGATACACTTCATTTTTTTTTAACTCTGATTGCCCAATCAAGTGCCAAACAAACAAGGGAGGAACTAAGATGAAATTTTGGGAAGGGTCAAGTTGTTTATGTTTGAAACTAACAAGATTCTAAAAAGTAATTAAACCACACAAAAACAGATGATTAAGGCTCAATTTCATTAATTTCAAAATTATTATGTCCTAAAAAGTAAATAAACCAAAAATGTTAGAGGCAAAGCTTAATTTCATTTAACTTTAAAACTGACAACGTATTAAAAATAATTAAACCAAAAAATTTAGGAAGGCCATGACTTTTAATTTTAATAGTTTCAAAACTTTTAAGAGCTTAAAAAACAATTAAATCATAAAAGTTGGGGTGGGCTATGTCCCATTCTGTCCCCACGTGGTTCTACCACAACGAACAAAAATGTCGACGAGGTTCGAGCCGATATGAAATCATATTTTATATAAACATCAATTAAAATTGTTGTTTCGTGCAGTATCAAACGGTGTCAGGTCAATCAACTTAACGTATCACAATAGCATTTCGTTATCTCAATAACGACAGTTAAAAAAATGACTAATTTATTATAAATAGATAATGTCAATATCAAATCATTAGTTTTTAAACATCAGTTGAAAAAGGGAAAATTATTCAAACTTCAATAACCATTTGTGTAATTTACCCTAATTTTTAATATCACCCCTGACTCATTGTGTTTTCAAGTGGTTTCTCCATTTCGGTGCAAATTGTGATCAACTAATATCTAATTTGGCCAATTTCATCATCAACCAATTTGATCTAACCAGACCCTCGCCAACTAAATCCCCAAATAATATTTCGTATTCACTACCACCACTGCTACGGTCATCGCCGCCACTAGCTTCTTCCCCGTTGGCCCATCACCGTTTTCCTCAGCCACCGACGCTTCCTATTTCTATTCTGCCAATTACTTTCATTCCCGAACCACCCGCGTCAAAAAGGCAAATTAACCATGTGGGGATGGTGGAGATTCGGGAAATGGACGGTCCTGATTATGTTCCTTCACATCATTGCTATTTTGATCTTCACCAAAGGCTTTCTCTTAACCCGAACTGAACTTCCCCATTCCAGCCACTGCTCCGATCTTTCTCAGTCTCCTTGTCATTCTTCTTCTTCTTCTTCTTCTTGTTGGACCAAGCCTGCCGTTGACCGTCTCATCATCGTCATTCTCGATGCGCTGAGATTTGATTTCGTTGCTCCAAGTTCTGTTTTTGAGCAGAAACAACCTTGGATGGATAGACTGAAAGTGTTACAGAGGATGGCTTTAGGGAATCCTTCTTCAGCTAAGATTTTTAAAGCTATTGCTGACCCACCAACTACCAGTCTACAACGTTTGAAGGTTGGTTTGCTTTTCGTTTTACAAGTTTTCAAAGTTTTTCTTTGATGAAAATAGCTATTAATGATTTTTTTATTGACGTTTTCAGGGATTGACAACAGGGGCACTTCCCACTTTTATTGATGTTGGGAATAGCTTTGGTGCTCCTGCCATTGTTGAAGACAATTTCGTTAATCAGGTTTATTTGATCATTACTCCTTTTTCTCTAGAAAACAAGTGGGTTTGAATAGAAAATCCAGTACTAATTTCATTTTAGAATTAAAAATTAGAACCATATTCTTTCTAAAAGGAGAAATTATGATTTTCCTTTGACATATAGAACATTATGTTGGACTAGTGTGGCACATTTGTTTTTTTTTTTTTTAATTTTATATTTGTATATATGTACACTTGTTTTGCCTTTTAGGAAGTAAAATCTAAGTAGCAAAAGTAAGCACCAAATGAAATGCTTAATGTTTATTGGTGTTCTTTTTATTTATGTTGGACTAGTGTAATATTTTGTTTTGCTTTTATGTTCTTTTTATTTTTATTATTTCAGTTGATTCATAATGGGAAGAGAGTGGTGATGATGGGAGACGATACATGGACACAGTTGTTTCCTAATCATTTTAACAAATCTTATCCATACCCTTCTTTTAATGTTAAAGATCTCGACACGGTATGACATGTTTTTTTACTGTAATTCATTGGAAGACATTATCTCTGTATCTGAATGGCTGTGATATATGATGCCAATTTTGTTTTGTTCAGGTAGATAATGGATGCATTGAACACTTACTTCCATCATTACACCAACAAGATTGGGATGTCCTTATTGCACATTTTCTTGGAGTGGTATGATTTACATGGTTTATTTCGAGATGAGAAAGTTCTGATAAATATTTGGTTAGTGAATTATTCAGGGTTATTTTCCTTTGGAACCTGAAGCTGAATGTGAGCTTCATTATTTGATGTTGTGGTAATTATTACTAATTCTTTTGGTGGGGGGGGGGAGTTGTAAGATTTTGTACCCATTATTAGTGGATATGTTGCAAATTTAATATTTACAAACTTCTTTTTGTTCAGGATCATGCAGGCCATATCTATGGTGTTGATTCCACTCCCATGATCGAAAAATTGGAGCAGTACAATGCAGTTTTAGTGGTAATTTGTTGAAGCAATACAATTACTCGTTGCTTCCAAATGGTTTAGCATCTATAGCATTCTGCTTCCATGGATTCCCCATCTTTATCTTTCTTTCTTTTTTTCATTTTTAAAAGTACAGTCCTAACCAAACCTTCTTGTCTCACAAAAATTCCTATTGAGAACTTATTTTCAATTTGTGACATGCTTATTTTAGTTTTCTAGGGACTTGGCATGGAAAATATCTTGTCGAAACTTGTTTTGCATTTACTTCTATTTTTATCCTTCTGTTGCCATTTAGCTTTTATGTCTCTGCCTGGCTGCTTGTCTGATTCAGAAAGTGATTGAAGAACTCCAGAACCAATCTGGACCTGGCAAGTTTCATGAGAATAGCTTACTTCTTGTAATGGGTGACCATGGACAAACCTTAAATGGGGATCATGGAGGAGGAAGTCCTGAGGAGGTCTGATGCTTATATTCTAATCTACGACATAGAAATTTAATTTTTTTTATTTGGAATTTTAGTGAATTATTTGTTTCTTCATGTTGGTTGAAACATCAATATTTGCTATGAGTTTTAAAGATTTGCCTTCTCTGCCATCTGAATTTGTTTCTTCATCTTGTGAGGTAGACTTGGCATTTCCTCTCTCTCTTTCAATATATGTTGGTGGCTTCTAGGAGGAGTAGAGATGTTCGTTCTCCTAGGCTGCTTTTATGTGCCTTGTTGATAACAGTAGAGAAAGGGAAGGAAAAAAGACATAATACATTAAAGTTAAAGACCACTTTAGCTTTAATTTTTTATCAGGTGACTTGATTATAATTTTTTGTTAGGGTTCTGTCTATTTCATTTATTAGGGGACAAAACTTCGTTAGATGGTAACAAGTTTATAAAGTTCTTATAAAAAAAAAGTTTATAAAGTTCTTGACCATTTATTTAGCATTTTCAAAAGCCAGATTTTTTTTCCTTTTGTTTCAGCCTAGCAAGAATATATGTATCAGCTCCATCCCCCAGGTTGGAATGGTCTTTTACTATTTGTAATCTCTGATCACTTCCCTTTTGAGTGTTTTCTTTCATTAAAACAAG